TTACCGACAACTAATTTCTTACTTATGACTTAGAAGACTTAGAAGACAGATCAATTGTCCCTGATAGCCACCTTACCTATAACTTACTGTCAATCTACGTCCGCAATTTGAAGCAAACTTGACGGAAAGAGTTGGCAAAGCGAGCGATTACCTATTAGTTACCTATAACTTACTCTCCAAATAGACGTCAAAACTTGCTGTACAAGTATTTCCGTCAAATTGTAGTAAAGTTGAAAGGAAATTTAACTACAAGTTTGATTGCTAACTTGTATTCAAGTTGCGGCCGTAGATTTCCGTCAATTTGCTTACAACTGTTGTTGAGTGAAGAATTACCGCCAACTTGATGTATAAATTAACCGTAACTGGTGGAAGTCAACGCTTACTGAGAAAGCGCTGGCTATCAGGGAAAATTTAATTTTTTTTTCTATCAAAAGCAATCACAGAAATTAGCAATAATTTCTCTTAATAAAATTGAAATCTCCAAAAAAATTTCTTAAAATTTATCAAAAATAAAATTCCAAAAATTATCTTTATTTTTTTTTTGTTAAAAAAAAAAAAATAAAAAATTCCAAGTATAATTTTTAAAAGAATGTTCTAGTGTTTTAAATTTCCCAAAATTAAAAAATAAATAAATCCAAGCTTTACCGCTCTGCAACGGACCTGCGCAGTGTAAAAAAACCTACTGCGCATGTCTCCTACCGCGCAAGTTCAATTGCAATCCACAATCCACAATCCTGAAGTAAGAAACTAAGCATACACATATTCATCTATAGTCACCACCACGCCGACAAAAATCCTTTCTACCTCCACCAGCAGCAACTGTATATAAAATACACATCCACAGTGAACACTGACATCCCAGAATTCAATACCCTCGCTTAGTCTTAGTCAGTGCCGGTAGGCTGTCAAACAGCGTCATATATTCTTGGCCGTTTTCTCCCAATGCTCCTCACGCCAAAAAGCGTCTCTTTTTCACCAAGCATCCTCCATAAAAAAAATCTATCCTCTTCACCAAGATCACCATGAAAAATCCGAAAATCCAGAATCACTGATCCGTAAGCCTAAAAATTCATTTCTTCTCTCTTAATCTTTGCCTCTATTTTCCCAATTCTCCAGCTCTGCCCATGGAACTCCCTAGTGCCAGTGCTTCATCAAAATCAAACGAAAATCGGCATCTAAATTCAGCGATTGTGATCAGTGATACTTTAATTGGTGTCAATTTTCTCCCGGCATTTGCTGGACCCACGAGGCATCAGCCTTTTAGAAAAAGGCGGGTAGGTTCATCAAAAGCCTAATTTTTAAACCTAAAACTAAATGAAGTTTTTTCATGCCTATTGGTCAAGTGACTAATGAACCCAATTCAAGCCAACCGATGGACATTCCATCTGCACTATTGGTTGAGAGACATTCTCTCTTTGCATTAGTTCTATGTGGTCCATCGAACTTGAATACTAGTGAAGCTGCAAGTTTTGTGGTATCCGTTCGAGTTGTCAAAATGTTAAACAAATGAAAGAAATTAAAGAAACTGGGGTAAATACCCCAATAGATGGATGGTTAAGCAAACTCTGGTGTTTTATTTAAAAAAACATTATAGTAATATACAGATAAGTTGTGATAAAGTAAATTATATTTATGTAAAAGTATATAATTAACCAGGAAAAAATAAGTAAAACTTGGTAAAATGTTGTAGTAATTATTAAAAAAGAAAAATTTAAGAAAAAGTCCAAAACTCCAGATGGACAAAATCTCCAGTAGATGGACAGTCAATACCAATAGATGTACACTACTTACAAGCGATATTTTCAATTTATTATTTATATCAGAAATAATTAATTTATTAATTTTTTACACTAAAAAATAAAGCTTGATAAAATTAAAGAGACAAGGTGATGAATCGGATAGTATGATAGTAATTTTGAAAATACATCATAAAGTAATTTTATTATTTTTGAACACGTGATGCTTTCTCATACAAATTAACATATAAAATATATTAATATAAAGAATACTAATAATTAATAAATAATCAATATAAATTTATAAAACAATTTTTTCTAGGTTTGTCTTTGCTCTCATGTAGGGTAAATACCCAAATAGATGGACGGTTAAGCAAACTCTCATGTTTTATTAAAAAAAACAATATAGTAATATATATACATGAAAATGAAGTTAGCCGACATTTCAAAATTTTTAGAAATTTTTTATCGAAAAAATTTCAATTAAAAAATTTCACATGTATAAAAAACTTAAAAAGCTATAAATGCAATTTTTTAAAAATATATTTTTAATTACAATTTAATTAATAAAAAAAATTATAAATTTTTAGCCGTCTGCTAACTTCAGTGTCATTATATCAGAAATAATTAATTTATTAATTTTTTACACTAAAAAATAAAGCTTGATGCTTTAAACACGTGATGCTTTCTCATACAAAGTAACACATAAAATATATTAATATAAAGAATACTAATAATTAATAAATACTCAATATAAATTTATAAAATACAATGTTAAAAACATTTTATGTTAACTTTTTCCTCCTTTTAATAGGTCTGTTATCTTTTGCTTTTAAATTTCCTTCTCTCAATTTTCTTTTTTATTCAACGTTTTCTATTTTTTCTTCAATTTCTTCAATAATCATAATAATACTTTCATTTTCAGTACATGTCTGTTTATTATAATCTTTACTCTTATTCTCACATTGATCCACCAATAAAATTAAAAAAAAAATAAGAAAATTTATCATATAAACTTAATGTCCATCTATTGGATAGAGGTCAGAAAAGTGTCACCAATAGATAGACACTAAATTTTATTATTTTTAATAATAATAACAAATAACATCCACCAGCTATCTGTCACATGCTTTCTAGTGGTGGCGCTCTTGGAGCAAAACCTCGAGACGTCTAATTTAAATAATTTTTTTAAACTATTATTTTAAATAAAAATTACTTTTCGCTCTCAGAACTTTACGTAGACATAAACAAAAATTAAGATTTTTGTTCTTAAAACTAATGTAATTGCTTCTGGAAATAATATTTGTCCATCTATTGGGGTATTTACCCTACATGAGAGCAAAGCTAAACCTTGAAAAAATTGTTTTATAAATGTATATTGATTATTTATTAATTATTAGTATTCTTTATATTAATATATTTTATATGTTACTTTGCATGAGAAAGCATCACGTGTTCAAAAATAATAAAATTACTTTATGATGTATTTTGAAAATTACTATCATACTATCCGATTTATCACCTTTTCTCTTTAATTTTATCAAGCTTTATTTTTTAGTGTAAAAAATTAATAAATTAATTATTTCTGATATAAATAATAAATTGAAAATATCGCTTGTAAGTAGTGTACATCTATTGGTATTGACTGTCCATCTACTGGAGATTTTGTCCATCTGGAGTTTTGGACTTTTTCTTAAATTTTTCTTTTTTAATAATTACTACAACATTTTACCAAGTTTTACTTATTTTTTCCTGGTTAATTATATACTTTTACATAAATATAATTTACTTTATCACAACTTATCTGTATATTACATTGTATTTTTTAATAAAACATGAGTTTGCTTAACCGTCCATCTATTGAGGTATTTACCCCAGTTTCTTTAATTTCTTTCATTAGTTTAACATCTTTACAACTCGAACGGATACCACAAAACTTGCAGCTTCACTAGTATTCAAATTCGATGGACCCCATAGAACTAATGCAAAGAGTGAACGTCTCTCGACCAATAGTCCATCTGCTTGAATTAGGTTCACTAGTCACTTGACCAGGCATGAAAAAACTTAAATTACATCCATAATTGGATCAGAAAATAAATAAATAAAACTGTCCACAGATTTAACAAAAAACGTGACAAGAAATGACCCTACTAAGCCCGGTCCGTTTAAAAGGTAAGCAAATAGGCCTCTACGCAGAGTGTTGTTGGTGCTGGTGGTGATAATGCCCAAAGAAACACAAATCACAAGCCAAAAAGACAATCATAAAATTAACTAATTCAAAAATGAGCTCTATGATCTACACCCTGTATGGGTTTGCGATATTCTTCATAGTTTTCTGGTTGGGAATGTGGTGCGTCCACATTTTAGCACTAATAACCGCGCGTTGCAAGCTGCACCGCAAAACTGCAGTTCCTGCAAGCTACGAAGTTCCTTTGCAAGGAGTTTCAATCATAAAACCCTTGATGGGAGTGGATTCTAACTTGTACAACAATTTGGAGACTTTCTTCACGCTGGACTACCCGTTGTATGAAATCCTGTTCTGCGTGGAGGACAAGCAGGACCCGGTGCTGATTCTGATAAAGAAACTGATGGACAAGTACCCAACTGTGGACGCAAGATTGTTCATGGGTGGCTGCAGAGTTGGGGTCAATCCTAAGATCAATAACATGTACCCTGCTTATGAAGCTGCGAAGCATGAGCTGATTCTGATCAGCGATAGCGGGATCAGGATGAAGGAAGACACCTTGCTGGACATGGTCAGGTGCATGGGGGACAATGTAGGCCTGGTGCACCAGCTGCCCTTCACTTATGAGCAGCGGCAAGGGTTCGCTGCAGCTTATGAGAAAATCTACTTTGGAACTGTTCAGTCCAGGATGTACCTGGCTGCTGATTTGCTGAACATCAATTGCCACACTGGGATGTCCGCGCTGATAAGAAAGGCTCCGCTGGATGAAGTTGGAGGCTTGAAGACTTTCGGGGTGTATTTAGCGGAGGATTTCTTCTATGCTAAGAGTCTAGTAGACCGCGGCTGGAAAATCACGGTCTGTTCTCAGCCTGCGCTGCAGAACAGCGGACAGTGCGAGCTGCCCTTGTTCCAGGCCAGGTTGAGGCGCTGGGCCAAGCTCAGGGTCGCCATGCTGCCCACTACTATTATCCTAGAGCCGCTCAGTGAGTGCTTCATCCTTGGGGCTTGTGCTTCTTGGGCCGCCACGGTGCTTTTTGAGTGGGACTCTCTGGTGTTTTATCTTATTCATATTCTCATGTGGTTCATGATGGACTGGACGTTGTTGTGCGTGGTGCAAAACAGTGCGTTGCCTCTTAATAAACTTGACTTTTTGTTTGGCTGGATTATGAACGAAACTGTCAGGCCGTACTTGTTCCTACAAGCTGTTCTGGATCCGCTTATTCAGTGGAGGTCCAGGGTTTATAAGCTCAAGTGGGGAGGCCTCGCTGAAGAGGTTAAGGCTAAAGTTAAATATTAGGTTAAGGTTTTTGGTAGCGAGGACTTTTTTTTTAAGTACTCTAGGATTTATCAGCAGATTTTTGCTGTATACGGGAGATTTTTAATTATTGTTCGTGGAAATTTACGTTATTTTATTATTGGAGAATTCATGTTGGGATTCTAAGTGCAGAATTTTGTTTGATAATTTTTTTATTTATTATTGATACTTTGGTGGGTTATGTAAGTGAAAAAAGTTATTCTGGGATTTACTCTTGCAGTTTTTTTTATAAGATAGTTTTGATAGTTAATTGTATAGAAATTTAAATAATATGTGACTTGTTTAAAAATTGAATTGAGAAACTGAGATTTAGTATTTGAAAAATTTATCTTTTTAATTTAAGATAAATGGTTAAAAAAGTTGTCTTAGTAGTTAAAATTCAAGAATTTCAAGGTTTTTTTTTATCATGAATATAATTAAATAAAGTATATGGATAGTTTTTTTTTATAAAAATTTATTCTTAAGAATTAGATGTCATATTTTTTATGATATTAAAATTAGCTAAATTTAATAATTTGTTGCAATAAAATAATTAAAAAAAATTGCATGAGTAGAAATTAAAAAAAAATTAAGTACAATTTTTAAAAATGTTTTTTTTAACAATTTATTCTCTTAAAAAAATTGTACAAATAGACAAAAAAAAAACTTCAAGTGTAAAATTTTCAAAATAATTTTTTGCAACTTAGAAAGAAAATTTTTCATTTTTTTTTGAGACAAAAATAAGCTAACAATTTTTTTTCTTAAAAAAATTTATTCCAACAAAAATGCACAGTAAAAATTGATAAAAAAAAATTTATTTTTGATTAAAAAATAATTACCAGTAATTATTCTATATTTATTCTTAAATAAATTAAGAATTAGATGTCATATATTTTATGATATTAGCTGACAATATTTTTTTCTTAATTTGTTACAAAAAAGTAGCTTAAAAAATTGCATGGGTAGAAATTAAAAAAATAAATTAAGTACAATTTTTAAAAATATTTTCTTCAACAATTCTTAGAAAAAAAACATTTCTATTTTTTTTTTATCTTAAAAAAATATTAAAAAAAATTGTAGACATAAAAAAAAACTGCAAAAATTTTCAAAATAATTTTTTAAAACTTATTAAAAAAATTTTTTGACACAAAATGCACAGTAAACATTGGAAAAAAAAAATTCCAAGTGTAAAATTTTCAAAATAATTTTTTTCAACTTATTAAAAAAATCTACATTTTTTTTTTTAATAAAAATAATTTTTTTCCTTAAAAAATGCACATTAAAAATTGAAAAAAAATTTTTATTATTGATTAAAAAATATCTGCTGAATAAAAAAAAATTCCCAGTAATTTTCCTAATTTTTTCAAACCAAAAAATTGAATTACTCAATTAATTGGTATTAAAAGTATTAATACCTCGCTACCAAAATATAATTTCAGCAGCTAGAATAATTTAATAGACGCTGTAATATATTTATACATATATAAATAATGAAAAAAAAAAAATAGTATATAAATATACATATATATATGTATATGTATCATGACTGATTTCTATAACTCGCATAATGTCTTCATCCGCAGTACAACCAGTGACTAGGTTTAGATTAATTAGAGTTTAATGATTTATTAAATATTATTATTAGTTAATTAAAAAATTTAAAAAACTGGTAGAAAATAGTTTAAAAAAGTACTAGCGATTTTTTTTTATACTTTGTAAAAAAATAATACATCCGTGTATTTATTATCTTAATTGTTATGATTATTATAATTATAGTTATTGTTATTTAATTAACACGGTGACTATTTTCCTCGAGGAAACAAAAGAATAAATAAATAAATAATAAGTGAATTTCATTTGAAGTCTGCGGCAGCCAGTTAGTGTTATTTTTTTTATTCTTTTACAATATTGTCGTCTACATCTACGTTTACATACATTGTAAGGTTGTTATTGTTATTTGAGGATAACAATGATAATTATGTCATGTGTGAAAATAAAGCAAAGTTGGATTGCGAATATTTAAGGAAGGGGGACAGAATGATAGATAAAAGATATAAGTAAAGTTGTAATAAGTAGATAAAGGTAAAGATGTATGAAATATGATATGTAAGTACAGTCTTTTGTGTACATATTGTCTGTTCTGTTCGCGAGGCTGGTGGGTAATGTCAACGAGAGTGAAAATATTAGTACAGTCTGCCAGTCTGGTATAGTGTACAAGTTGGTAGACGTAGATGTAGACGTACTAGTACTATTACGATTACGTTTACGATACGATATAATGCTAATAAAATTGAGAATACTGTACCAAGGCAACTGGTAACCTCCACAGGGTGAAAAACATTTTAAATAGGGTCACGGGTATACATGCTTTTGTCTTTAGTATAATTTTTGTGAGAAATTTTTTTTTTTGTTTTAATTAATAAAATTTTTTGGAATGAAAATTTAAGTAAATTTTGGGAAATAAAATTTTTCTATTTTAATTAATTAAATTTTTTGGGAAGAAAAATTCAAATAAATTTTGGAAATAAAAATTATCAAATTTTTCAAAGATTGAAATTAAAATTTTGAAGAAATGGTGATTAAATTTATAAGAACCTTTTTTGTAGAGAATTTATTTTTCTAAATAATAATGTAATCCAATTATTTGTGATTAAAATTGAAATTCTGGCTAAATTATAAGAGATAGTGAAAAATTGATATAGATCTGTTTATTTTAATTTTAATAAAATTTTTAGGAAGAAAAATTTAAATAAATTTTGGAAAAGAAAATTATAAAATTTTTTAATTATTAATATTAAAATTTTGAAGAAATAGGATGAAATTTATAAGAACCTTTTTTGTAGAGAATTTTATTTTCTAAATAATGTAATCCAATTATTTATGATTAAAATTGAATTAAAATTAAAATTCTGGCTAAAGTACAAGATGTAGAAAAAAATTGATAAAAATCTCTTTATTTTAGTTTTAATAAAATTTTTGGGAAGAAAAATTCAAATTTTGAAAAAAAAAATTATCAAATTTTTTAATGATTGAAATTAAAATTCTAAAGAAATGGTGGTGAAATTTATAAGAACCTTTTTTGTAGAGGATTTAATTTTCTAAATAATAATGTAATCCAATTACTTGTGATAAAAATTGAATTAAAATTAAAATTCTTGCTAAATAATAAAAGATAGTGATCAAGATCTTTTTAGGAGAGAATTTAATTTCCTACAAAAAAGTATCTTGTGATTATTTTATTTCTAAAAAAAAGTAGAGAAATTTAATTTTAATTTTCTAAATATGTAATCCAGTTACTTGTGATTGAAATTTAATTAAAATTAAAATTCTGGCTAGATAATAAGAGATAGTGAAAAATTAATCAGGATATTTTTAGTAAAGAATTTAATTTCCTACAAAAAAGTATCTTGTGATTTTTTTACTTTTAAAAAATAGTCGAGAAATTTAATTTCAATTTTCTAGATATGTAATCCAATTACTTGTGATGGAAATTTAATTAAAAATACTTTCTTACAAAAAACGTGATTTTTTTGTATTTAAAAAAAAAGTCGAGAAACTTAACATTAATTTTCTAAATGTCATTTAATTATTTGTGATTGAAATTTAATTAAAATTAAAATTCTGGCTAAATTATAAGATCCTGAATTGACATAGTTTATTGTAGGAATTTTAATTTCTTACAAAAAAGGTATCTTGGGATTTTTTTATTTCTAAAAAAAAAGTCGAGAAATTTAACTTTAATTTTCTAAATATGTAATCCAATTATTTGTAATTAAAATTAAATTTCTAGCTAAATTATAAGATCCTGAAAAATTGATCAGGATTTTTTTTGTAGAGAATTTAATTTCCAACAAAAAAGGTCTCTACAAGAAAGCCGAAAATTTTAACTTTTCTTTCTACACTAAAAATTTTTCATTATAAAAAAATTTTTTTAATTATAAAAAGAGAGTAGATAAAATTATTAAACTTTTAATTAAAAAAAAAGAATTGTTTTAAAAATATGTTATTTATTAAAATATTGACAAGTAATATCAACTAGAATTGTTATACTTGACTAAACAAATTCAAGGCTCACGTCAATGAAGGCGTTTCAATGTAAAAATTCTCAAGGTCATAATTATAAAGATTATAATTTACAAGACTCCAATTACTAATAAGAACAATAATAACAGTAGAATTTAATTATAAAATTTCTCACATTAACCCGAACCGTGTTAATTAAATAAACAAAAATAACTGGCCAATAAAACGCTTGACCGCAAATAATATAGATAGAAATAAATTATAAAAATTAGCCTTTACTTGAAAAAATTAAAAATGAATTAGGAAAAAATAATGAAGACAACTAGCAATGAAATACGCGCACATAGATCGTTGCATAATTTTTTTGTACGCTTAAATAAAATAAGAATATTGAATCTCAGATCATTAAGTTTAATTTATCAATTATAATATTTTTTTAAACTAAGAGAAAGATAACAACATTCATCTGTATAAATACAGTTCATGTGCATAATCATAATTAGTAATGAGTTTTGGTGAGCGGAGTACTTATAACATGTTATTAATTAATTAATTGATACATTAAAATATTGATAGACTCGAGTACGATAACATTATTTATATTATTATTATCGATTAAGGGAAGAAAAAAACGAACAAATAAAATAAAAATAGCATCATGTAAATATATCACCAGCGAATCATTCTTGTACAAAATATTGTATACTTTTAAAATATTTTCAGTTTAACTAATAATAACTCGGCTATATTTAACATCTGTATTATATTCATACATATGTATTATAATAGTATATATTATATATATGAACATGTACATGTTGTTTAATTTAGAATCTAGTGCCTCTACTCAGAAACGGAGGTATTGATTATTGTGACTGTGTATGACAGGTTTTATTGGAAATTGAAACACGAAATATCGATGTAATGTATGCGTATGTACTTTGTAATTTTTCTTTTTTTATTGATCTATAGCCCGTTCG